TACAGAAGATCTGTATAGGAAGGATAACAATATCGATAGCTTTGACGGTGTGGTGAATGAATTAGAACCAGACATCCTGAGGAGTGAGGTTGAATGGGCCTTAAGAAGCATTGCTAACAACAAGGCAGCAGGAGACGATGGGATCCCAGCTGAACTGTTTAAAATCTTAAAAGATGATGCTGTCAAGGTGATGCATGCCATATGCCAGCAAATATGGAAAACACAAGAATGGCCATCAGACTGGAAAAAATCAACTTATATCCCCTTACCAAAAAAGGGAAATGCGAAAGAATGCTCAAACTTTCATACAGGTCCCTTATTTCTCAGGGCCACTGTACGGAAGTTTGAGCAGTCTTTCGCATTTCCCTTTTTTGGTATGGGGATATAAGTTGATTTTTTCCAGTCTGATGGCCATTCTTGTGTTTTCCACACAAGAAAACACAGTAAGGTAATGCTCAAGATCCTGCAAGGAAGACTCCAGCAATACATGGAGCGAGAGTTGCCAGATGTTCAAGCTGGGTTTAGAAAAGGCAGAGGAACGAGAGACCAGATTGCCAATATCCGCTGGATAATGGAGAAAGGCAGGGAGTTTCAGAAAAACATCTATTTCTGTTTTATTGACTATTCTAAAGCCTTTGACTGTGTGGATCATAATAAATTGTGGAAAGTTCTTGGTGGATGGGCATACCAAATCACCTTGTCTCTCTCCTGAGGAATCTGTAAAAGGACCAAGTAACAACAGTCAGAACTGACCACGGAACAACAGACTGGTTCAAGATTGGGAAAGGCGTACGGCAAGGCTGCATCCTCTCACCCAACCTTTTTAACTTGTATGCAGAACACATCATGCGATGTGCAGGGCTGGATGAATGCAAAGCTGGGGTGAAAATTGCTGGAAGAAACATTAACAACCTCAGATATGCAGATGACACCACTCTGATGACCGAAAGCGAGGAGGAGCTGAGGAGCCTTCTAATCAAGGTGAAAGAAGAAAGCGCAAAAGCCGGGTTGCAGCTAAACGTCAAAAAAACCAAGATTCATGGCAACAAGAATGATTGACAACTGGAAAATAGAGGGAGAAACCGTGGAGGCCGTGACAGACTTTGTATTTCTAGGTGCAAAGATTACTGCAGATGCAGACTGTAGCCAGGAAATCAGAAGACGCTTACTTCTTGGGAGGAGAGCAATGTCCAATCTCGATAAAATAGGAAAGAGTAGAGACATCAGACTGGCAACAAAGATCCGCCTAGTCAAAGCCATGGTATTCCCTGTAGTAACCTACGGATGTGAGAGCTGGACCTTAGGGAAGGCTGAGCGAAGGAAGATCGATGCTTTTGAGATGTGGTGCTGGAGGAAAGTTCTGAGAGTGCCTTGGACTGCGAGAAGATCCAACCAGTCCATCCTCCAGGAAATAAAGCCCGACTGCTCACTGGAGGGAAAGATACTAGAGACAAAGTTGAAGTACTTTGGCCACATCATGAGGAGACAGGAAAGCCTAGAGAAGACAATTATGCTGGGGAAAGTGGAAGGCAAAAGGAAGAGGGGCCGACCAAGGGCAAGATGGATGGATGGCATCCTTGAAGTGACTGGACTGACCTTGAGGGAGCTGGGGGTGGTAACGGCCGACAGGGAGCTCTGGCGTAGGCTGGTCCATGAGGTCACGAAGAGTTGGAGATGACTGAACGAATGAACAACAACAATGGTTTAAGAATACTTTCTGAAAGAGAGGAGGGAGGATAGATAAGAGAAGAAGCTAAAGGGTGACTCAAAGCTCAGAGCCACCCAAAAGAAAAGCACAGCCATCCACAAGTCCCCAATACCCACCCACACTTTCCAACTCCCAGTCCCACTAAATAAAGAATCAAGAAAATAAAATAAAAGTTAAATAAAAAAGATTCAATGCTTGAAAGAGGCCAAGCCAAGCAAAAAGGTAAAGCTGAGAGTGAGCTGCAAGGACTGAACCTGTCTCTAGAGCCAGGACACAACTAAGCAATAGAGGCGCTCACTCATTAAATAGACACAGCTTGTGTAAGACAAGTCACAGCTGTTTCTTTTATTCCGATTGGCTCAACAGGCAGGGCTCACACAGGGAAACCTCATGCAAAGATGTGGTAGCCTCTCTGCGTACCACTTGATCCTGAAAAGAGCAGTGACCGGCAGCCACGTGGTCTTTCTCAGTTGGAAAAAATATGGTGGCAGAGCCCTTGCCGTTATGGGTGTCCGAAGAAGCTGAAGACCAATGGCCAAAACGAATCTGTGCACAAATCTACTGTTTATGATAAAGTTAAAAAGCATCAGTCTAGTAGAAATCTCTTAAGGACCTTACTGCTCACATCCCTCTACTATTGAAGGCACCAATCATTTATTCGTATTCTTTTCCTCCTGTTGTTAATTTTTCAATCCATATTATCTCATGACTTTTCTGTTTATTCAAGAGTACTGTTTTGGAACATATGAAAAATCTGAAAGAATCATGTAGGCAATGAATACCCAATCAATTCCTAGCCCTGTGTTTATTTACACTTTCAAAAAAACTTTAAAAGACTGGTGAGATAGCACTTGCCTTACCTTACAGAGACCACGTAAATTATTTTCCAACATGGCTTTTAGTTCTGTATGTTTATACCAACTTGCCTAGAACAGATATTAAGCTAAATAGTCTGCATGTTACTAGATTTTTTTTCTGGATCCTCCCCATTTAAAAAATTGTATAGTTTATATACTGTCATTATTTTATATTTGTATGTATCACAGAATATATTTTAGTTCATAAATTTGACTTATGTCCTATTTGTATGTGCCATGTTTTAGACATGCTGCAAATATGTTGTAAATATGTTGATCCTGTTGTCTGTATATACTTATGCTTTGCATGTTTTGTCTGTGACCAAACTAAATTAAACTAACCAACATCTTCAGTAGTGAAGGCAAACAGAAAAATTCACTCAGTTTGTTTGCAAACTTCTTGTCCTCCTTCAGAACTTTTTTTTTTTGGTTATCCAAATGTCCAACTAAAAAGGAAGCTGAAATGTTGAAAATCTGAACCATTTCCTGTAAAGGACATAAAGATGGCTAAGATAATTGGACTTCTAAAATGTAAATACTAGTGAGTTCAGGAGGAGATTATTGTTTCAACCTTTTGTAAAAAGATAATGTGGATCACCGAAAAGGGAGGACTGCCGAAAGGCTATATGCCTTCATACAATACCATAGACTTGCCAGTTGGAACACCTGCTGATTACAACAAGCATAGGTGGCTTTCAAATTATTTTAAGTTTCAAAGGCTATGGTTTTAAGTTTTTAAGACAAATCTGACTTATTTGCATTGTGTGTGGGAGAGAAGGAATGTAGGGCTATATGCATGAGCCATTTATCCGGTGTTCATTGCCTGGCTAATGAAAGCCCATGTGTCTAACAGAAATTGAGGCAGGAGATTCAACCTTGCTTGAAAGCCAGACTTTACAACACATACTAACTTGGAAATATCAGTTGTTTTAGCAGATATGATCCTAAATCATCAGAAACTAGTCTGATTCTGGATTACAGACAGTTTTAATTTGGCATCATATACCACTTTCCTCAGCCTTCCCCCTTTCTTCCCTTTTGCTGTTTCTTCTGCAAGTAGATATTAGTAAGTAAAACATTTCTCCCATCAGATTTCATCTGTCCGCTGAATTCCATGATGAGCTAGTAGAAGAGGGATTCTGCTAGAAAAATATGTTTATGCTTTTAATCATGAGTCCCTGCAACCAGGTCATCTTTGAATTATAATGGCACTGTTGGTTTGTAGTGTTGTAGTGGGGAAAAATAAACTTCTGTCCCTTCAGATGTTGTTGCATTTTGTGTCTTGTCAGACCTAGTTAGCATAGTCCAATTAGAAGGATAATGGAATTGTAGTTCTGCTGTATCTGGTTTCCCTCTGTAGTGTACATACTTACCTAGAAACAAGTCCGATTAAACTGCAAGTAGACTTGTACAGAATTGACCTGTATAACATAGAATAAGGAAAGCTGAGTGAACTGTGGCATTGGAGGAAAATTCTGAGAGTGCCTTGGACTGCAAGAAGATCAAATGAGTCCATATGAGGCAAAGATTAAGTACTTTGGCCACATAATGAGAAGACAGGAAAGCTTGGAGAAGATAACGATGCTGGGGGAAAGGGGCTGACCAAGGGCAAGATGGATGAATGGTATCCTTGGAGTGACTGGATAGACCTTGAAGGGGCTGGAGGTGGTGATGGCCAACAGGGAGCTCTGGCGTAGGCTGGTCCATGAGGTCACAAAGAGTTGGAAGGAACTGAACGAATAAACAATACAACATAGCATGTGAACATTGCAGAGAATCACCAATATGGTTGCCTAGTTTTTGTCTCCTCTACCCTATGATGAACCCTGCATTACATCAGTTGTGTGAATGGAGTTAATATCCATTATTTTAGTTCCTCATTAGAGAAAAGACAGGGCACAGCAGGACTGGAAGGAACTTCAATTGGGACAAAGAATTGCTCTTTGTCACAGCAAGCTGTGTTGGGCTTACATCAAGCAGTGCTCTGACAAAGCATAAGCTAATTTCATATTTTGAAAAGGTCAACAAACTCTGAGGTCATGCTTGACATAACAGAACACAAGTTGACAGCTTTGGTACACTTTCCAGGGTTATCAAACTCCATGGACTCCTTTCATTATTATAATGGCAACAGCCCATTTTTTCTTTTTGACCTGTTGAAATTTCTCTGAATGGAAAGCAGGCTGTGAAACAATGTATTTTCCAGTTGGTGTACAAGGCAAAGGAAATGAATGTATTCCCCCACCTCCCTGGCCAAGGATGGAAATCAGTTGTTCAAAGGAATTAAGAGAGCTAAGGACGCCTATGTTTGTCCCAGTGTTATTTTTGATATACAGGAACTGTTTTCCAAAGGGGGGAAGGGGAAGGGGGAAGAGTCATCTCTATGCCCAAGCAGTACTTTGTTCTCTTAAATATATTTTAACATCTCTTGGCAGGTTTAGATCCAGATAAACATCTAGGAAAAACACTCAATGAAATGGAACCTTATCTTTTGGAAGTAAGTATTATCAAAAGTATACGTGAACCATTTTATGCTTCAAAAAAAGTTATATATACAGGAAACTAACTGTCCTTTCTTATTTCTTAAAGCACTTGCCTTTAGAAACAAAACAGAAAGCCAGAATTTAGAAATGAAAAAGATACACTCTATTTTATGCAGACCACATGATAAAAGTGTTGTATTTGACAAATTCCACTTCAGATGTATTTTTTAGAACAGCTGTTTAAATAAATTCTCAGCTGAATCTTGGCTTAGCCATGCATGGGGTAGATATGATTAAATCAATAAGATTTATGGGACTTATTGCTGTCTTGTCTCATTGATTTCATTGGGTCTGCTATAGACATACCTAAGTCTGGATCAAGCCCGTTTCCTAATAGAAATAATTTCCCATCTTTGAGGAAAAATAAGTTTTTTCTGCGTGGTGCATGGAATGTCTCTATTATAAATAATAGGTGGATTATGCTCATGAACCGCACTTCATTGTATTGAGATTGTCACCAAAGAAAATTAATCACCATGGAGGGAATCGTAGTTAAGGACCTTTACCTTGAGACAGGGAGAAAATGTTGAATAAGAATTAGGTGTTAGTGGAGTAAGATGACTGGACTTACATTAGATTTCATTGGGTTATCCTGGAATAAATGCCAATAGTTATTCATATTATGAAGTATGAATTTGGTTTTGAATGTCTTTACACAACTGAATTCATTAATTTTAAGCTGAATGTGGGCCTCTCTATCTGAAGCCTGGCCTATGAAAATCTATAGCTTTTTCCATGTCTGGATATATATTTAAGAAAATTGGGTATATAAGAGAAAGAATAGGAACAGGAGAGAGATATTCCTGGAATCCCTTTGAAGAGTTCTAACATTACTTAATGTCTTGTATCCTACAATAAACTGAATTAGATCTAGTTGTTCCAGCTTTATCACTAGGGCCTTAGTATCTGTCACCATCTATTGTATTAAAAAGGATGAAGTTGCTTGCCTATTCAGCAGGAGAGAACTAACTGAAGTACTAATGTGACTGAAGAGATGAAGGTATGCATATATGGAAAGACCTCCCAGATCAGAGATTTAACTGACTAAAGCTTAGGTCTGTTGACATATCAAAATAAAAGTGCTATGGTGAGCATGCATAGTAGCTCATTCACACATGGAAATAAACAGAGGAAGTGTTCACAGCTGCATGGTATATGGTAGACTTCTGCAGAGGTGAGAAGATCCCTCTTGTTCTTTTAGTGAACGTATCATTTGTTGGATTTTCTTAGTGGGTCTGTAGGTTGTGTTTCCTCATCAGCTTCCCTATGTGGTCCGTGGTTTTCATGCAGCTGTGGACAAGTCTACATAGGGACAACCAAATGCAGTGCCCAACCACGAATCAAGTAACATGAAAGGCACTGCAGAGTACTTCAACCAGAGAACACAGCCATAGCAGAACACCTGATGAACCAACCTGGATACAGCATGTTATTTGAGAACACAGACATTCTGGACCACTCTAACAACTACCATGTCAGACTTCACAGAGAAGCCATTGAGACCCACAGGCATGTGGAGAATTTCAACAGAAAGGAAGAAACCATGAAAATGAACAAAATCCGGCTACCAGTATTAAAAAAAACTCTAAAATCATAATAGTAAATAAAAACAGAGGAGCTCCAGACAAGAAACTGCTAATCACCTCTCAACAAAGGACTCCCCCAGGCAGTAAGTAGCCACACCCTGGAAACTGCTAGGTCATTACATGCTAATCAAGGTGGCCAATTGAAACATTTACACCTACCGCCAAAAGACAAAGAGTTCTTTCTCCCATCCTGGACCTTCCACAGATATATAAACCCCATTTTCCTAGTTTCCAACAGATCTCACAACCTCTGAGGATGCCTGCCATAGATGCAGGCAAAATGTAGAGAAGGTTTCTGGAACATGGCCATACAGCCCAAAAAACTTACAGCAACCCAGTGATTTCGGCCATGAAAGCCTTTAACAACACATGTTATGTTTAACTTTTAGTGCTTTTTTCTGATTAGTATAATACACTGTTGTAACATGCAACATAAGAAGTAAATTGGAAATTCCATGTCGTCCCTTCAGCTGTTTGGCTGAAATGGCAGAATGGAATCTAGTGAGCATAGCTTTAAGAATCTTGGAAGAAGAAAGAAATACACTGTATGTATTTACATGGCCTGACCTATGAAACTGATGTCGTATTTTTAGGATGATAGATTGGATGCACCTTTTGGCAGGGCCTAAAAAATAACAAGAGGTTGGTGGAGTAGAGATCGCACACAGCCTTACAAATTAAATAATAACATTTCCACAGTTAATATTTAATTTATTTATACCCTGCCTTTCTCCCCATGAGCTCAGGCTTGCCAGAGAGATTCAAACCAATAAAAAAGGGGTTATTTGATTATGTCAATAGAAAAAAGGAAGAAAATGGAAATGGTAGGACCTCTGTGAGGAAAAAGTGGTGAAATGCTAACAGGGAATAGAGAAAAGACAGGGCTGCTCAAAACCTTCTTTGCCTCAGTCTTCTTCCAAAAGGAGATTGGGGTTCAGCCTGAGCAATACGGAGAGGACGAGGTAATAGGGGAAATGCAAACCAAAAATAAGTTAAGAAGTAGTCCAGGAATACCTGGCAACTATAAATGAATTTAAATCTCCAGGGCCATTGAACTACATCCAAGAGTATTGAAGGAACTAGCAGAAATCATTTCAGAACCACCGACAATAAACTTTGAGAATTCTTGCAGAACAGGAGAAGTTCCAGCAGACTGGAGGAGGGCAAATGTTGTCCCTATCTTCAAGAAGGGAGCCCCCAGTGGCGCAGTGGGTTAAATCCCTGTGCCGGCAGGACTGAAGACCGACAGGTCACAGGTCCGAATCCGGGGAGATGCGGATGAGCTCCCTTTATCAGCTCCAGCTCCTCATGTGGGGACATGAGAGAAACCTCCCACAAGGATGATAAAACATCATATCATCCGGGCGTCCCCTGGGCAACGTCCTTGCAGACGGCCAATTCTCTCATACCAGAAGCGACTTGAAGTTTCTCAGGTCGCTCCTGACACGACCAAAAAAAGAAGAAGAAGAAGAAGAAGGGAAAAAAGAGGACCCAAGCAATTACCATCCAATCAGCCTGACAACAATACCAAAAACATTCTGAAGCAGATTATTAAGGAGGCAGTCTGTAATCACTTAGAAAGGAGTGGTGTGATTACTTACTTGTCTTTTCTTTCCAATTATATATGGTAGTTTATTACAGATTTTATTCTTAATGAACAATGGCAACAATAACCAGCATCTTTTCCTAGATGTGGTTTTCTTAGTAGTACTGAAGAGCAGTGTGGGAGAAAGTTGTTCAGTAAATACTCTTTCATGTTGGTAGTGGCTTTGTGTTTTTCGATAAATGTCAAAATATATAAATATTTCACTAGATATTTAATTTGCTTTTATAACTTAGTGAAACTGAAGTATAAACACCAGCTGCAGAGGTAGTTGAAGCTATAGTTCTAAAAATATTTCCTTTGATTTCTGTCGGGGGCATGATGTGTATGAGTGAAAGACGAAGAATGAATGTGAGGGAAAGAGATCAGAGGGAAATAGGCCGGTTTTGGAATGTTTCTGGTATTCATCTGCTAATTTCTTTACTCTCAGTTTTAGGTATATTTGTGGTCTTCCTAAAGTCTCATCTTCCTTTCAGCCCTTATGACAGAAAGGGCATATTAGTCACCAAGAGTTGTGCTTTGTTACAGAATTCACACAGACCTACTATTCACTTAAGGCATTTTACATTTATGTGAATTATGCTTCAAAGGGGGGGGGGGATAAATTATTACCCCAAGTTTCCATCCATTTGATATATAGTCAGTGTTATTTGTATATGTGAAGAAACCTGCCAATGTAGCTGCTCATCACTCTATACTTCCTTTAAAAAGTTCAGGAGGCAGAAAATCTCCTAGGGCTTTATTATTATTTAATGATAGAATAAATGGGTTGATTTCCTAGGTGGTGACTGGAACCCATTTTGACAGGGCATCAGTATCCCTACAGCTATCAACACCCTTAACTATTTTATCTATTTCCATTTCAGCTTTAAATAAATCCATTCCCAGTCTTTAGTTGAGATTGGAATCATGGGATGAAAACTAAAAGTTCTAAGTTTGACTGATACTAATTGTCAGAATCCAATAACATTGTCCTTGATCCAGGAAACTCCTTGATTTAGGACAATTCAAAAACACCAGCTATTTGAGGAATGATCCCAACAAGGTCTTAAACCACAATTTGTCTGAAATTCTAAAGGCTGAAGGTTGACCCCAACTCGAAAAGTTCAGAATTCACTGAATATGAGTGGCTTTTTTTCTTGTTGGTCTTGTGTCAATTCCAATGCTGTGTCACGAGTCACACTAATTGAGCAAGTTCTTCAGCTGAGCCTTCCTGTTGGTGACAATCTTTACACATCCCTTTATTTTTAAAATCTTTTTTTGTCCCTGGAGTTCCTTCTGGGTCTTCAGAGGGCCACTTTTTCAAGCACAAGCCATCAAACAAAACAATCTCATACTTTCTTTTGAGCATGCAGGAGAGGATTCTGTTTCAAATATTTTACTTTTCTTCTGTGTCTTAAACTTTTGAGGCATTTTAAAAATTCACTTGGTGTCCTTTTTAGAGTGACCTCTTGTGCACTTATGTGAACCTTCAACTAGAACCTTGCTGTTGTCACTGCTGTTTCTCAGCATATCTCTCTCCTGGGTTATGAAGAATTCAGTCAACGTTGTTAACGGTTCCTTGCTTTCCCGAAGAAATTTATCCAGTTCATTTATTTAAAAACACTGGTTGCTGAGGGACCCCACTGCTCATATCCATACATATCACAGTCCCGAAAGAATGTGTTGCTCAAGAATGTTTAATAGGAATGAAAGCATTTTTCTAGTTCTTCCTGTCTAAGCAGTTCAAAAGACAAGCTTGTGTCAGCAGTCAGTCCAAGGTTTA